CACCGGGGAAGCCATAACATCTGGAACCCTGGCAACAAACACCCACAAACAGGGGACCCAGACGGTATTACTGACGAGTCGAGTAGCCGCCACTCGTCCCCACATGCAGGGAACCTGCCTACCATTAAAGTTCTCCAGTTCGTCAGACAGCATTAACTCGGCAATCGCTGTCCAGTGACCTGGCGGCATCACAGATGCCGGCAACACGAGGAAGGGCCCCAACGTGCATCCTCTCAAGAGCGAACTTGACAGAGGACACCACCACAGGAGCACCTGCGGCAATGGGCGCACCACCAGACGACTGCAGGGAACCTGGACAGCACGCATCCTTCCGTAATGTCACTAGCAGGCCACGCCCAGCACCAGTATCCACACCATCCCTGGCAGCGGAAGCCACCACCCCCCCCACTGCAGAGAGTCCCCTGGTGGAGAAGGAACAGAAGGCACGCCCGAGACACGGGCACCAGCAGTAGCAGGCACATGGACCTCCGCCACCACTAACTGCGGAAACATTGACGCATCCGGATCCACACTGTCAACACCCGAAGACCCACAGTCACTGAAGTCACCAACATCGGCCCAGGCAGAAGACGAACGCCGGGAACGTTTGGGCTCGGCCGGATATCGTCAGAGCTGAAAGTGGACCCAGAAACACGGGGTAACACTAGCCGGACGAATCGACGCCCGACACAGAACAGCAGCAGCCTCTACCACAGGGGGAACCGGGCCACACACAGCAGGAGGCTCCGCAGCCATCCCAGCACCCAGCAGAGCCGGGATCCAAAGCGAGGACACAGGGCCAGGCGCAGCAGCCGAAGACGAGGGAGAAGACGATGATGCCTCACAGTGAGCACCAGGAAGGCCCACGGGAGCAGTGGGGACAGTGACAGGAGCAGGTAAACCATCCAACGGCACTGCAATACCCGGAGGAGTGTCTGCAACAACCGAAGGAATGTCGGGTGACACAGGGCGAGCTGCATCAGCTAACGGGACGCTCACCTCCTCATCCCCGGAGTCCTCCTCCAGAGGAAGCGGCGGGAAATCCTCCTCCCGGAACAAGTTGACGGGAGCAACCGGAGCCGCAGTGCACCCGGCAGCCTGATGGCCCAACAGGCCACACCGGAAACAAGTACGGGGTTGCCGGGCATAATACACCCGCACGTAGTACCCTAAAAGTCGGACAGAGGATGCAATGTCTGACCTCAGGCGCATCCCGAGGGTACGAATGTTGGTCTTCACACCCGTATACTTTCCAAAAGACAGCGTGTGCATCTGCACACTTACGACCGTGCCAAACCTCTGGAAGAAACGCTGGAGGAGGGTCTCAGGAAACTCCATGGGGGCCCCATAAACACTCACATATGTCATGGCACTGCTACGATCCAAAATGGCCACAGATCTGGTGCCATCCTGCAGCTGCAAAGTACGTCCCTCGTACCATCGGAGAAAGTCACGGTACGCTGCTTCTCCCACAAACTTGATGACCACACAGTGAGCTATCACCAGCTCAACACCGTAGATTTCTAGAACCAGGATATGGAGCATGTCACACATGACCATCTCCACAATAAGATATCCCGCACGGCCAGTAAACTCCAAACCCACGGAGTTACCTCACAACAGGGGGAAGATGGCCGCCCATTGCAAAAGCACCACGGCCACACCAACCAGGAACAGCAGGGAGGGTAGACACACGCACACCCCCTGGCGATGAAAGTGGCAAACATTCCAACTATCAGAGAGGCCAGGCGACACGTCCGCACCTCACGGCAGCTAGAGCGCAACTCCCACGCTTTGCGTAATAGTGGCTTTAGGCATTGTATGTACTAGCTTTATCTATAAATCCATCAATGTTTGTATCACACCTTGTATGTATGTACTTTCCCTGAATAAACATTTGAATTTAAATTTGAAAGAGCATCTGCAATCTTAAGGTCATGTCCTCTGATTTGCTGACACACTTGCTCAGAACATGGCCTCTGGCCACCCACCTGGTGCTCAGAACATGGCCTCTGGCCACCCACCTGGTGCTCAGAACACGGCTTCTGGCCACCCACCTGGTGCTCAGAACACAGCCTCTGGCCACCCACCTGGTGCTCAGAACATGGCCTCTGGCCACCCACCTGGTGCTCAGAACACGGTCTATTTTGTAAATCTGTTACTCAAATTGAGAGGAACATTCAGATAAATCCTTTTGATTTAGAGGTGATCTTCTGTAAACTGAGTACAATTTGTCCATAAATGCTTTAAAATTATTAATTCCATGAACTTCTCTCACTGCATCATCTACTGCAAGTTCTAATCTGTGATTAAGATAGTGTCAGATTATTATATCAGGGTAAAGTTCCTTGAGAATTGTTGCAATGCCAGATTTGACACCTAGCATGACACTTGCCCCATCACTAGCAAATGCTACAAGGTTCTGTTTCAAATATAAGTCCTCAACCCCATGATAATTGAGACAGCACAATAGATGCCCAGCAATAGTTGCTACTATTGGGGGAAATGGGGATTACCTTCCTTATCACTTTCATATTTCAAGTAAACTCTCAAGGTTGTTTTCAATGCTCAGGTTTGTTGGTGCATCAATGAGAACAGAAATTTTGCCATTTATCTGCTTGATATGCTGGCAAATTTTATTTTTCATATTATTGGGTATGTGATTAATTATCTCTGTGGTACTAGTGCAGGAATGCAGTCCCATTCCAAATGTCAACACCATTTTGTTTTTGTAATTCCAGTAAGCCAGAGTGATCAGAGTTTGGTCTGTCATTCTGAGCTAAATATGCAGAACACAAAATGGAACAAGTTGTCTTCAGATGCGAAGCATTCATGGCTTCATACAATTTTCCAAGAGCATCTTCACTAGCAACATTTTCAACACAAAGCAGCAGTGAGCTTCCCATAGTTTATGATCAACAATTTTTTTGAGACTTCAAGTGTGTACTTCGCTCTGCTACATTACAGGATCCTCGGTATATCTGCCACTCATTTGATAGTCTTAAACTCTTAGAAGTGAAACGTGTTATATTGCTTATGATTGCACATACTTTACACCAAAGTTTATCTTTCCTGACGTCTAACCATGGATAGGTTTCCTTTTTTTCTTCAGTCCAAATACCTCAGCAGGGATACGTTAGACTTCAAAGCACCATTACTTTCTGAATTGCACATGTATCCAGTTTGAATATTTGAACTAGAAGCAGTCAAAACACAACTTATGCCACTTTCAGTGTTATCATTATCAGTCTCTTGTACGTTATTCTTCTTACACTCCTCATTTTATCTACGAAAGAAATCAACATTGTTTGCTTAGAAGCCATGAGGAGGGTGTTTGTGAGAAAAAATGCTTCTGTATTAGAGAGAAATCCAGGGACCACCAGCCACCACTTTACTAACACCACTGAAACACAAAAGCAGGGTTGCCAACTCAGTATTTCACGCAATACTAGAACCACCCCAAAAAGCACTAAATTATGTAAATTTGTGTGTAGCAGTTTTGTCGTTTTACCTGCCTATCTTGAGATGAAGTTATCTTCAGATGATTTCGGGGCTTAGTGTCCCCGCGGCCTGGTCCTCGACTAGGCCTCCACCCCTAGGAAGCAGCCCGTAGCAGCTGTCTAACTCCCAGGTACCTATTTACTGCTAGATAACAGGGATATCAAGGTGAAAGAAACATTTTGCCCATTTGTCTCCGCCTCCACCGGGGATCGACCCCGGAACCTCAGGACTACGAATCCAGAGCGCTGTCCACCCAGCTGTCAGGAAATATTTGTCTAATGAATTAGATACCTGTCTAATGAACTGATGCTAAAGCCATGAACAATATCGCTAAATATTCGTATCCGAAGCAGTAGGTTGGCAAATTTGTCTCATATCGTTTGTCTGGCATAAATGGACAGGAAGCATTCACATGTGTCGGGTATTATGTTTCCAGATTCATACAGTACAATTCAGCCTGTTTACTTTTTATGTATATAAATATTTAAATATTATTGAATCTCTCTAAAAAAAAAGAAATATCATAACATTATTAACCTATTAGTTATGTAATACTAATATTTTCCTGCCGCAATTAATTAACTTCACCAACAAGCCATCCTCTCTCCCTTTCACCCATTCCATCATCCACTTGCAGAGGTACCGGAGCGTTGCTCCGGCGAGTTCCAGCAGCACTGCTTCACTGGTACCTCCTCTCCTGCTTAGACCTTACACAAAATATAACCTATTAGTTATGTAATACTAATATTTTCCTGCCGCAATTAATTAACTTCACCAACAAGCCATCCTCTCTCCCTTTCACCCATTCCATCATCCACTTGCAGAGGTACCGGAGCGTTGCTCCGGCGAGTTCCAGCAGCACTGCTTCACTGGTACCTCCTCTCCTGCTTAGACCTTACACAAAATATAACCTCTGGTCTCATTTTAGAAAAATCTCTTTTAGGTTCTTGTTACCACATTTTGATATTTATTAGAATGATAATCATGCCAGCTACTTAATTCATTATTTTGTAATGTAAGATTATGAAAGGCATGAACTCTTCACAGTCAATTGTCTTCTTTTGGTCTACTATTGAAGAAAGAAACTTACACCTAATTAGTTCAGGAAAGTTACAATACTAAGGCAGTGATTAATCAAGCAAACCATCTCAAAAATTTTATTGGTAAAAATTTTACTTGGATCAAAAATATATTTAAACACCATTATAAAATAATTCAGCTAATCTGAAGACAACACAATACACTTCAGCACTGGAAACTTCTATTTTACGTTTGCTTCCTAAAACATGGCAGACATGCTCTCCTCCAAGAACTTTTTATAAATTGCCATAAAGGAAGCAATAAAGGCTTCTATGTGGTATATGGCCTTGGAGCCCAGGTTGAGGCGGTGCTCGTGGTATGCCGCTAATCGAGTAACTTCACATTTCAACTCTCCGTCGCAGTTCCGCACCAGCTCCTTCAGCAGACCCTGGAAATATTTCAAGAATCATTATGATCAGTAATTACATTTGAGAAATAATGCTCACATAAGAAGGTGACCAATATAATGCTTCTTATAATGGCTAGCACTTTCTCCTGATAATTTTTTTTTTTTTTTTTTTTTTTTTTTTTGAGATATATACAAGAGTTGTTACATTCTTGTACAGCCACTAGTACGCGTAGCGTTTCGGGCAGGTCCCTGGAATACGATCCCCTGCCGCGAAGAATCGTTTTTTCATCCAAGTACACATTTTACTGTTGAGTTAAACAGAGGCTACAGTTAAGGAATTGCGCCCAGTAAATCCTCCCCGGCCAGGATACGAACCCATGACATAGCGCTCGCGGAACGCCAGGCGAGTGTCTTACCACTACACCACGGAGACTGTAACCTTACCTTAACCTTAATTACCTTACCTTAACCTTTAACAGCTCAACTACTTAAGTCTTACATCATCATGCATATGACATGTGAACACATCACACATGGTGATTCAAGCATAGGAGGTAATCACAGATAGCAACTAGTTAAGAGTTAGTTGTAAGAGTATTGTCAGGTTGATGGATGGTAATGTAACATTATGAGGTACTCTCTTCACCAATACTGAATGTTAGTTTTAACAGTAATGTTCACAACAGATACGTTGAATGCCAGCAATGTTTATCTATCTATAACTCTGGTACTTGATTCCATCTGTGGTACTTCTATAAAAGCCCCAAATTTTTCTTTAGTCTTATAGGGATAAGGAACTGCAATTTTATTTAATTATTTGTTTGTGTATCTGCACCAAATATATTATATGCTCTTTCCAATGGTATCTATCACCAAAAAATAAATAAAAGGAAATAAATCAATAAAACATTGTTAAGAGATTCCATGTTCTAATAAAAAATATTGTTAAAGTAACTTAATACCAGGGGTATAAATATACCCAAGACATTCAATATAATTATTAATACTCTACTGTACAACCAAAAGGAATGCAGTAATTGCAAAAAAAAGTTTTTCATGGGGCAACCCCCCTCAGTAGCTGCATGGAGCATAGCTCAAGTAGGGTGCCAGTACCACACAGCCCGCGGTGTAATGGCAACCACAGTTGTGTCCCAGCTGAAAGGTCCTCGAGTTTGATTCCTGTGCCAGGACAGTAGCACTTGGGCAACGTTTCCTTTCACCTGATGTCTTTGCTCATCTAGCACTAAAATAGGTGAGAAAATCAACTGAAGCTTCGAGATGGCACAAACCCGCAACCAAAGCACTCCTGGTCACTCGCCTTACCACTGTACCACACTGACTTATTAGGTAAAAGTTATACAACCAGGATTCCACTGAAATCTCTTAAACACTGGAGGTTTCTACTGAAGCCAGCCCAAGCCTCAAGACTTCCAGAGGTTTGAGTGGAATCTCGGTAATATAACTTTTACCAAGTCGGGGTGGTACAGTGGTAAGGTGAGCTGATATATATCACGTTAGTGTGAGTTCATGGTATATTTGAATAAAATAGGCATCGTGAAGGTAGGCAAGTGTTATGGTTTTCACCCTGGTGAAGGTCAGTGATCAGTGATCAGGGCAATCCTCACTCGTTGAATCACCATCATCTGCTGTCTCTGTATCTAAATTATCACTATTGAAATCACTGTTCCATTCTTGCCCCTCAACATCTGACTCAATATCGGAGAATGTTTGAACTAAACCTGGGATTTTTGTTGGTGTAAGCTTCACTCTGCTAAATTTCTTGTAAAGCATACTTATCTTATCCTCTTTGATTGATTTCTCCGCTCTTTTCGTTGTTGAACTGCTCTGCCCTTGACCATGATCCATCGTGTAATATATATAAAGTGTTGAAACAACACGGGAACAAATATAAATGCCGATAATAGCAGAGATCTACACAAGTTTGGGATGCGAGCGGGCAGCATGCTGGTCACAAGCGAGGTAAACAAAGGACTAGGCTGACCACGTGGCCTGACAACCCAGGATGCCATGCGGCATATGGAGGAATGTGGGAATACAATGGCGCTCATTTTGAAACCACATAGAAGTTGATCAGATAAAAATTAAATTTTTTACAAATATTTTAATACATGACGCGAGCCATAGTCAATCGCTCAGAATCGGGAGAAAAATGAGTGACGACGGGTCGCGGCACCTGAGTGCAATAGTGTTAAACTATTACATAATACTGATGGATAACTGTAGGAAAATACCTCTGGATAGTAACGGACAGTAATGTTTACATGGACACCACTGTAAGCTGTTTAGTAACCAAATAATACACATATTAGACATTTGAAGAAATAACCAATTCCATTATCTAGTTTAACTTCCTACCTTGAAAATAACCTCTGGAGGTATACAATGTGTCAGGAGCTCGTATATTCTTTCCCGGACTTCTAGCAATCGATTAGGGCTCTGTTCCTCAACAATTTTGGCAGCAGTTCCTTGTAAGAACGTCTCCCAATCAGGGACACATATCTCCTGCTGGGCACTGAAGGGGTATCTGTAAAATATGTCAGCCATTATTATTTTGTTTACCAACAATTGACATAGCAATTGACAATTGATAGCAATTGACCCATCTTCCAGGATTGAGCTTGTAAACGCTTTAAACTAATATTTCATGTCTTAACAGAATTTTAGAAAAAATTAATTAATAAATAATTGAGGATTAAGTGTAATAAAACACATTCCTATGCATGACCAACTACAACCAACTCAGGGACTGAGTCTTCTCCAACTGTGCAGACTGGAATATCTTCCAGTTGAAAAGAACGGCAATACCGTAAAGGCCAACTAGCAAAAGACAAGCACCTGACTAGCAGACATGAGACACAACTGGGGGCTCACTGTTATGACCCCAGGTAGCCTGAAAAACGAGTCTACCTGCCTGAGAGTTATTCAACAAACTAGCCCCAAGTGAGAGGTCAAAGGAAATATAGATATGTGAATATATATGAAATACTTGGCAAGTGTTAATGAACAGTTTAAACGCATGGGCAGAGGATAAATGTGTAAATAAGGACATGACATGAGATGTTGAGATTTTGTTGACAAGGAATGAGGCTCGCTGTGAATGTCTTGACCTCACTCGAGCAGCAGAGGTCGTGAGAGGAGGTTGCATTGTGTTTGTACTCCTGGCAGCAAAGGAGGAACCCCTAGTTGTGTGCCCCTACAAGAGGAGGGAGTCAGTCAGGCGTTTGTGTATGAAGCCTGAGGACGACTTAGTGCTCGAGTCAGGATTAGAAGAAGCCTGGTGAGGCATTCCTATAGCAATTTTGTGGGTGACCTGTGTGAGCGCCATGTCGAGCGTCATCGAGTGAACGCCCCGCATCAGATAAATTCTGTGGCAAGTCTATTTAACCAGTTGTTAATGAATGCCTGTGATTGATCATGTGCCCAGCGATCATGGCAAGTGTTTATAGATACATTAGATGCGTTTTATTAAGGCAGTGAGCTGAAACAAGAGGGTAGAGATGGAGGAACGTCCTGGAGGGCAGAGTGACGTGTCCACCCTCTCCGGAGACCAGTGGCTGACTGAGTGAGGCGGCGGCGGCTGCCAGCGAGGCAAAGCATGGAATTGCCCGAACGGGGGAGTACCCCCTCGCGACATGTTAGAGTATATAAAGAGATGTCAAGCGAAGGACACTTATTTTGTGTGAATATATTTAATTATGTTTTAGTAGGAAAACATTTTTATTGGCATGGCAATGGAAATTGCAGGTTTGTTTGGGGGAAGAAGTTGATAGAACTTCGAGGCCAGGGAAGAAGACCACCAGCAGTCTCCGTGGTGTAGTGGTAAGACACTCGCCTGGCGTTCCGCGAGCGCTATGTCATGGGTTCGTAACCTGGCCGGGGAGGATTTACTGGGCGCAAATCCTTAACTGTAGCCTCTGTTTAACACAACAGTAAAATGTGTACTTGGATGAAAAAACGATTCTTTGCGGCAGGGGATCGTATTCCAGGGACCTGCCCGAAACGCTACGCGTACTAGTGGCTATACAAGAATGTAACAACTCTTGTATATATCTCAAAAAAAAAAAAAGTTGATGGAGCAAATTTCGAGGTGGAGAAGTGAAGGCTGAACTCTGTGGTAGACCATAACCCCACAGTGAGAAGTGGACCTGAAGCAGTGTGGAAGAGCAGTGAAGAGAAGTTTCACGTGTCTGTGGGATCAGTGGTGAAGCATCAATGGTGTTTGAGGAGAAATTCATTGTGTAGCAGTTTAGGAGGACTGCAGAAGAACCTTGTTGACAATTTTGGGTGAACCTAGAGTTATACATGATAGTGAGCCTCTAGGAGCAGACCAGAGGATCATGGTTATCACACATGATGTATAAGGGGAGTGCTTGAATGCTTATTGGCGTGTAAAGCACAGTGGAAGGTAAGAGATTGATATTTTGTATTGGGGAATATTTATGCAGATGTTTCTAGTGTCTCAGCCACAAGCTGTACTTTATATACTTTCAGGACTGATTGTGCGACATTGATGTGACAAGTCGTGTTACAGCCATTGGCTGAATTTTATATATATTTTAGGACTGGTTGTACAATATTTTTACAAAGAGATATAACCCCACTTAGTGAGGGAGTAGTAAGTGGCACGTCAAGAGTTGAGCAGTCACTTGATATGGACGGCTGGTGAAGCCAGGATCTGGCCAACAAGTCTGGTCAACATGAAGCCAGGATATGGTATTGGATTGCTACCAGGTTTGCAGCAGCCTAGTGTTGTATGCTATTGTTTTACTGTTCTTATTTCATGTACTGTATATGTTCTTTTGTTTATTAAATATGTATTGTTGACTGGCTTTTGTACTTGCCCTGGTGAGACTTCCCAGAAAGCAGAGAGAGAGAGAAAAAAAAAAGGATCACAGCTGTGGACAGGGTGACAGAACGTACTAGTTGACAATAGGGGGATTGAGGAGATCAATCCAAACAAAGAGAGAGTGGGGAGTCACGGCGGCTCAAATAGAGTGTGTGCACAGGACAACGAGGCCAGTGTTGGAACCGCACCCCTAGATATGTGACGCTGAACCCCTCTCCAAGACCATGAGGCGTACAGGGTGATCTCCTGAGAAAACTTTAAGAACTCCAGAGTTCATTGTTAGTCGACAAGCGGTAGCGGGAGTGTGGCTGCCGAGGTCGGTTGTCTGTTGCGGCAGATAGTGGTTGGGGAACGTTGTCCACCTGTACGCAAGTAACAGTCTGGTGCAGCAACCAGACCTCTTTTTGGAGGTTTAAGCTCCATTAGCCCCAACCCCCTCAGGTCAGGACACCACATTAGCGCGCTCACTCACGGTTACGTGGCCCGTCTTCAACTCATCGGCGGGTGGAGCGTGACCAGGTTTTTTATTTTATATGCTAATATTCATCTAGAGAATTCTATTGTGAACCCATTGATACCAAAATGAAAGAACTAGGACGAAAATTAAGGTGACCAGAGTGAAAAGAGTGAACACATTTATCGCTTTTGCGCGCTCCTGGGTAACTCGTTCGCACTTTCTCTGTTTGCTGCGGGTAATTAGCCAGGCTTTTGGAGTTTATATGCATTTAGTGCTGTAGAGAATTCTATTGCAAACACAATGATACCAAATTTAATCTCGTAGGGCGAGAATTGAGGTGACAAAGTTGAAGAGAGTATACACTTTTCAGAATTAACGCGCGCTCCCGTGAAATGCTGGGACCCAAATCGCATAGTTGAGGGGTGACGCGCTGGGTACGCTAAAGTGTTAAGTGTACTGTACCACAGTGGTCTATGTTCAACTCTCAATTGATGAAGTGATGATTCTGGGTTCAATTTTCAGGTGGGACAAATGGTTAGGTACATTTCCTTTTACCCGATGCCTCTATTTACCTAACAGTTACCCTGGAGTTAGCCAACTGTTGAGGGTTGCATCCTGGGGAAGCCTGTAGTTGTACCTTAGGGGCACCTTGATACAAACACAACACGAGAATTTTTAACCAGCCATCAAGGAAGACCAGTACCCTGACCCTGGCAATGAAGCTCCCAGAGTACCACTCACCTCAGCTGGCTGGTACTCTCATAGTCCAGGCACCATCATCAACCTCAAAGGTAGAACCCAAAAGTAAAACTGTGGTGTCCCATTCAACACCCAACTCAATCACTAAACTGAAGGTAAAAAGACAGATGCTGCTTGATACCTGCTTGATGGGGTTCTGGGAGTTCTTCTACTCCCCAAGACCGGCCCGAGGCCAAGCTCGACTTGTAAGAGTTTGGTCCACCAGGCTGTTGCTTGGAGCGGCCCGCAGGCCCACATACCCACCACAGCCCGGCTGATCCAGAACTTCTCTTAGAAAACAGTCCAGTTTTCTCTTGAAGATGTCCACGGTTGTTCCGGCAATATTTCTTATAGTCGCTAGGAGGACGTTGAACAACCGTGGACCTCTGATGTTTATACAGTGCTCTCTGATTGTGCCTATGGCACCTCTGCTCTTCACTGGTTCAATCTTGCATTTTCTTCTATATCGTTCACTCCAGTATGTTGTTATTTTACTGTGTAGATTTGGGACCTGGCCCTCCAGTATTTTCCATGTGTATATTATTTGGTATCTCTCTCGTCTCCTTTCTAGAGAGTACATCTGGAGAGCTTTGAGACGATCCAATAATTTAGGTTTTTTATCTCGTCTATGCGTGCCATATATGTTCTCTGTATTCCCTTAATTCCAGCAATCTCTCCTGCTCTGAAGGGGGAAGTGCGTACTGAGCAGTACTCAAGACAGGACAACACAAGTGACTTGAAGAGTACAACCATTGTGATGGGATCCCTGGATTTGAAAGTTCTCGTAATCCATCCGATCATTTTTCTGGCTGACGCGATATTTGCTTGGTTATGCTCCCTTGTTAGGTTATGTTAGATCGTCAGACATCATTACAGGGTATTCCCAAATCCTTGACATGCTGTTTTTCTACTATGGGAAGATTCGATTGTGTTTTGTACCCTGTATTATGTTTCAGATCCTTATTTTTGCCGTACCTGAGTACCTGAAATTTATCACTGTTAAACATCATGTTATTTTCTGCTGCCCAATCTAAAACTTTGTTGACATCTGCTTGTAGTTTTTCAATGTCTTCAGCAGAGGTAATTTTCATGCTGATTTTTGTGTCATCTGCAAAGGACGACATGTAGCTGTGGCGTGTATTTTTGTCTATATCAGATATGAGAATAAGGAAACAGTAGTGGTGCAAGGACTGTACCTTGAGATACAGAGCTTTAACATCGCTTGGACTCGATTTTATCTGATTGACTGTTACTCTTTGTGTTCTGTTCGACAGAAAATTGAGTACCCAGTGTCCTACATTTCCAGTTATTCCCATTGACCTCATTTTGTGAGCTATCACCCCATGGTCACATTTGTCGAATGCCTTTGCAAAGTCTGTGTAACAACATCTGCATTTTGCTTTTCTTCTAGGGCTTCTGTGATTTTGTCATAGTGGTTGAGTAACTGTGACAGACAGGATCTTCCTGCTCTAAATCCATGTTGTCTGGATTGTGCAATTATGTTTTCCATAAAACTAGAAATCTGATTCCTAATCACTCTTTCAAACACTTATTATGTGTGATGTGTGTGCAACTGGCCTATAATTTTTTGCCAAGGCTTTACTCCCCCTCCTTGTGCAACAGAGCTATATCTGTAGATTTAAGTGCAGCTGGTATCTTCCCTGTATCCAGGCTCTTTCTCCATATTACGCTGAATGCTTTCGCTACTGGGACTTTACTTTCTTTATGAATATTGAATTCCATGAGTCAGGCCAGGAGCTGAGTGCATAGGCATATTGTCAATTTCTCTTTCAAAGTCTTCCAAGTTTGTGGTACTGTAATATCCGTTATATTATCTGCAGCTTGAATGTCATCATAAGAAGCTGTCTGGGTCATCAACTTTCATGTTGTTATTGGTGTGCTAAACATAGCCTCATACTGGCTTCTTAGAATTTCACTAATCTCTTTGTTGTCCTCTGGTGTACGTACCTTCATTTGTAATTAAAGGTCCAATACTGGTCGAGGTTTTGGATTTGATTTTGCGTATGTGAAAAAATATTTCGGATTTTCCTTATCTCTTGTATAGCTTTCTGTTCCAATCCATTTCCTCAGACTTCATGATCGCTTCAACGTTTGTTCTATTTCTTCGATCTCCCTGCTTCAGCTTATTTTCCTTGCTGTGATAGTTGTGTCTGCCGAAGCATTTCCATTATTTTTCCTTCTCCTGTACAGTCGTCTGCGTTCTCTTTCTAGAGTGGTCCTCTTTCTGCCCCTCCTCACAGGCACGGCTTCAAGCAGACCTTGTAAGCTTCAGCTGTCAGTTGAGCTATTCCCTGTGTGGGAGTTTTGTTGCTTAAGACCATCTCCCATTGAATGGTTGCAAGGTCTGCATTTATTTTTTCCCAGGCAATCCTCTTATTGTTGAAATTGAATTGAATTGAATATTCCTTCTCGCTTGTTGGGTCTCTTAGACCTACTACCGTTATTTATGCTAGTTCGCACTTCAATGAGCTTATGGTCTGAGTATGAAGTATCTGAGATTGTGATGTCTCTGATTAGTTCATCATTGTTTGTGAATAACAAGTCTAGTGTGTTTTCGCCCTAGTTGGTTCTGTAATCTGTGATTGAGCGAGAATTGTCACAGAATCTCAAAAGTTCTCTGACCTGTAGTTGGTTATTTCCCGGGTCATTCCCTGCTATGATATTTGTGTTTGCCATTCTCCATCTTAGACTCGGCAAATTGAAATCTCCAAGGAAGATAATATCTGGAGCTGGGTTTGCTAGGTTATCAAGTATGTTCTCTATTTTGTGCATCTGCTCTGTGAATTCCTCAACCGTTGTATCTGGTGGTTTATATATTAGAATAATAATTAGGTTTAGTTTCTCTACCTTAATTCCAAGTACCTCTACCACCTCATTAGTTGAGTTTAGTAGTTCTGTGCATACCAGGTCCTCTTTAATATACAGACCTACTCCACCATTTGACCTAGTTTTTCTATCACAGCTATATAAATTATAATTTGGAATCCAGATTTCACCATCCATGTAATCTTTTGTATGAGTTTCGTGAATGCCTCAAATATGAGTTTGACTCTAATAGGAGGCCATTTATGAACTTAACTTTATTTCTTGACTTTGGCTTTAAACCTTGAATGTTTGCAAATATGAATGATTGTCCATATTGTGTGTCACTTCTGGAAGGTTTTGGTAGTTCTCCCTCCTCTCTACCCTGACCCAGGGTGTGTTGTTGTGGCAATGGTTTGTGGTGTGGCAGTGGCAATGCTACTGGTATCCTCCAAAGTCAGCAATATAAACTAAAACTAGCTTGTAAAATCTTGTGTACTTGGGAAATGGTGAGCATCTGGATTACTGTACTGGAATGAGCTTTGTAAGAATTAGGGGTGAACCAGGGATAAAGAAATTCCTTCTTAGCCACAGGAAACAAGCAGAACAACAACTGTAAGGGAATCAACAGGTGATGCAGCAACATGACTGCAAATGCAAAGAAAACAACTCACGAGTTGAAGGGTAATGATGAATTTCTGCCAAACATGTTTGGAGTTTCTATTCAACAGAGTGCAATGCTCACAAATTAGCAGGTGCCTGATAGGCCATCACCTGAGGGAAGTTCAGTCAACACAAATATCCAGTGAAGAAATAAACCAGCGTTGAATGTAACGAAACGCCATTTTCTGGGCGAGCCCTGGCGGCTCCCTGGAGCTATCGGACTGATATTAGCTGTGTTAATCTGGGGGCTTCAGTCAATTGGAATTCTGCCTACTGAGGACCACGAGCCAGAACCTGGCACCCTCAGAGAAGGGCAGGGAGCAATGGTGTAAGGAAACCCCACTGTTTTTTGGAGTATTCCATGTCTGTCATGGAATAATGAGCCCATGAGACCCAGCAACCCTAGGAGCAGCCCTGCATGAGCTCTTGTCTGTAAGTCACAAGCAGCAGTCAGACACAAAATAAACACTCAAATTCCAACTAACAAAATGTTTCATTTAAATTATCACCATGCAGAGCATCCCTGATCTCACAAATATATACCAGTGAGGGCAACAGTGGTAAAGTGAGGTGAGCATGGCATAGTATAACAAAAATATTAAGAAAATATTACCACAAACTAGGTTACCCACTTACTGTTGCACTTTACAGGCCTCGCACATCAGCAGGGCACGTCGTAGGTTACGGTTGGACTTTTCAGCAATTTTTTTGGCTAATTCTAGAGGAAGAGAAAGTCCCTCCTTTTTGCAAACACTCTGAAATTTTCAAATATTTTTTTGCTTTAAAATTTACATATACAGTAACTATTTCGTAATAAATGATTGAAAATGAGGTCATAACAATACTACACTCTTAGTTTCTGGGGAAGACTTGTAAGCTTTGATGACCAAGAAGAGCCCTGGAGGCAATACAGTAACAAACTTCATAAGGGTATTCTTCAATCATCCTAAATAATTATTCCCAAACCAGAGCAAGCAAGGCACGTATGATTTTTGGCTATGAGTGATTTATTAAGACAAACTTGGTTCTTCAACTGCTTCTCATTAAAATAAGCAAGATTTAAAAAAACAAAAAAACCAGCGTTGAATGTAATGAAACGCCATTTTCTGGGCGAGACCCGGATGCTCCCCGGAGCTAATTGGGCTGATATGAATGTATTAGACCCCCTGGCATAAGTCAGTGTGCATGGAGTTCTAGGGATACCAGGGACCATGAGCCAGAACCTGGCCCCCCTCAGAAAGGCACAAGAAGCAATGGCCTATAGAAACCCCCCATGTGGTTGGAAGTATTTTA